TACCTAGGTATTACGGAGTAACTAGGTAAGTACCTTTTGGCTTTAGGTAAAGTAGGTAAGGTACCTAGTGCAACCCATCAAAGTGGGACCGGGCACGAGTAGGCCCGGGGAGAAAAGGGGTCTGCCGGGCCCACCTGTCACCTTCTGAAGGACCTGGAAGCCGGACATTCCATTCCATTGTTTGGTTGGTATATTTCCTCATTCACGGAAGGCACTTGGATCTGTGTAGTCGACCACCTTCAACATCAACAAGTCCTTCCAAGGAGAGTACTATGGCAGGTGGGAATATCATAGGGAACCTGAAAGGCCTCTGTTTAGAAATTGCTCAACATTGCTAGTTGTAGTATTGCTTCTGTCTTCTTGACATTTTGTAAAAGAGAAACCTTGCACCTTTTATCAAGGTATTTGATGTAGGTGGGCATGTTTTTTCTGCAATTCACTGGCCTTGTCACTGAGAGTGCTGAGGCACCAGTACTACGCTATGCCTTGCTTTCTACTACATGGGGTACCTTAGGCCGTACCTCTTGAGGTGTTTGATAGTGCCTTGGCTACCTGACTTCCTTCCATACCTTACCTTACCTTACTTTAGGTGTAAGGTAGGCAGACAGGTGAGGTAAATTTGCACGGCAAGGAAAGGTACCATAGGTAAGGTAGTGTATATACAGAGTAGTAGATGCCCTTTTTAGGTGGGTGGATTGTGGAGAGACCTGGGCAGGTGTGCCAAAGTGCACCAATAAGCACACCCTACCATAACTGGTAGGTAAGGTATCCGTACGCACCTTACGGAGGTACACAGAGGTAAGAATGGAGCGCTGCGTAGGTACCTCTCATTACAGCCAGTCCTGCACTATCTGCCTTACCTGCCTCACCACCTTCTTTACCTTCCTCCGCACTACCTCCCGTCCTGCAGAATCAGATCTACCTCACCACCCGACTTCCCGTCCGTCGTCTTGTCTTATCCGAATCAGCAATTGCCTGGACAGGACGTTGTGTGGTGGTCGATGTGGACTCTAATGCTTTCCACTCTTCTTACCCTTGCCTGACCTTCCCCGGCACTGGACTGACGACCTCAATCGTCTTGCATCCGCTTTTTGTTGTGCTGCGCCGCGTCGTTCCTTAACTCGCCTCACCTGGCCATCCCACGAGGCATTCCGAGCCACACACACCCACCATTCGACTCCGACTCGTACCTCATCTTCACCACCACGTCACCTACACTGTTGCCCGTCTCAATTTTCCCCATCGCCATTCTGCCGCCCTTTATTCCCATCTTACTTCCCCCTCTTCTTTTCCCCCTCCCCTCCCCTCCTACCAGCCCGCCTCCGACTTGAACACGAATCATGAATGGGGACCTCAGTCTATCGAGGGCCCTCGGGGGACTACGAATAGCCAATCCAGACGACGCCGATGCCTCTCCAGGCGACTCCCAAGATGCCGATACCCCATCATCGACCGACCGGCAACCAGACCATGATATTCAACGCCAGCAACAGTATCAACTTGATGCTCATACCCGTCTAGCGCCCCTCGACGACCCGACCACACAACCATCCCCGAGTCCGTTTGGATCTACTCCCACCTCAGACAACTTGTTGTCTCCCATATCCCACACACAATCCTCCGAGGCGCCATCACCCGCATACGATGGCTCATCGAGCCATGTCGAACCCCGCCGAACGAGCCCTAGTGCCGCAATGCGGGCAGATGTCTACAGACAGCCCGTCTCCCCATACTCCGAACTTGACAGAGCTCCAGGGAATCGATCTTCCGTGTCGCCAACAGCGCGGCCTGTCTCTGCACTATATAGCCACCAACCCGTGGCAACTGAAGAGGGACATCCGCTTCATCAACCACAAGGTCAAAGCGACCGGGCGCGCCATTCTGCCTACGGCTTGCTCGCCAGGCAAGATTCGAACCACATTCAGGGCTATCCAGGCAGCTCAACGCCAACAAGGGAGCCGAGTTACAGGGCGCCGGCCAATCCAACACGCCAATCCCAACTGCCTCCTGGCTCCGGATCCTTGCCCCCTCGGAGGAGCTCGAAAGGCATGGGCGGTGGATATGTTTCGGCAACAGCAGCGCCAGGAGGCCCCCAAGATCCCTATGGCCCAGAGGCGCCGCTACCGACCAGTAGTGAAGAGTGGAAGGACCGCGGTGCCGCCGTAGGCGTGCGCAGAGAAACAGACTCAAACGGCAAGACAGTCATCCGGCATGTCAAGAAGGGGGTTAGAGACTTCGCCTTTGGACGCGTGCTTGGAGAGGGCTCGTACAGTACGGTCTATTTAGCTACTGATCGACAGACTCTCAAGGAGTACGCCATCAAAGTCCTCGAGAAGAAGCATATCATCAAGGAGAAGAAGATCAAGTACGTTAACATTGAGAAGAATACCCTGAACCGCCTCACCGAGCATCCTGGAATCGTACGCCTTTACTACACGTTCCAGGACGAAATGTCTCTATACTACGTTCTTGACCTTTGCAACGGCGGCGAACTGCTTGGAGTACTGAAAAAGACGGGCTCCTTTGATCTGGAGTGTACGAGGTTCTACAGCGCCCAAATACTAGACGCCATCGACTACATGCATTCGAGAGGAGTCATCCACCGCGATCTCAAACCCGAGAATGTCCTCTTGGACGATCACATGCATGTGAAGATTACAGATTTCGGCACAGCCAAGCTACTCAAAGACCCGAGAGAGGCGCAGAATGTTGCTGAAAGCGCGCGGGGACTGCCCGAGAATGGCCGCAGCGAGGCAGACGAAGACAACCGGGCAGCTTCATTCGTGGGTACCGCCGAGTATGTCAGTCCCGAACTCCTGACCAGCAAGAACGCCTGCAAGGCGAGCGATCTGTGGGCTTTCGGATGCATAGTATACCAGCTATTAGCAGGTCGTCCACCCTTTAAAGCCGCAACGGAATATCTCACGTTTCAGAAGATTGTCAACTTGGAGTACGACTTCCCTACCGCCTTTCCACCAGCAGCCCGTGATCTAGTAGAGCGATGCTTGGTCCTTGACCCAGCCCGTCGTCTCACTGTCGAACACATCAAAAATCACGAGTTCTTTGACGGACAAGCATTTGGCAAAGGCTTATGGAGAACCAAAGCCCCACGGCTTCGACCTTATAATCCTACACCACAAGATCCGACTGTCATTCAACTTAACGGTGTGAGCAACAGTCCGAACTCTGCTGCACCGCCAAGGAGCTCCCAGCCGCAAAGTTCGGCCCTGAATGGCAGCGCTCGACCAGCCAGGATCATCACGGAGCTTCCTCCTCCAACCCAGCTGGATATTGAGTGGTCTCCAGTCTTGACGAAGAATAATGAGAGGATTCTCAAACTGGGCGACTTGATGGTCGTCTCGAGCCCCCTGCCGAGCGGCCATGGTAAAGGCGGCGAGCACGCCGAGGGACACAAGAAGCTATCGAGGTTCTTTGGCGGAAGTACGACCAAGAAGAGACAGAGGCTGGTGATGATAACTTCAAGCGGTCGCATACTGCTGGCACCGGCTGGCGGAGAAGAAAAGCGCGCCAAGCAAGAGATTTCACTGCTTGCACCCGAGTGCACCTGGAGGACGCAGCTTGACGTAAAGGGGCAGACTGTATGGTGTGTCGATGCGGTAAGTATCCTGGACAAAAAGTCTCGCCGCTCATCTAAAATCCGACAGGGCGGCGTCCACTACACATTTGAGGAGCCCAAGGGAAGCTCCAGCTCTTCAGAGAATGGCACCACGGCCAGCGACTGGATAGAGTCCCTAGAGAGAGCCAAGGAATTGGCCTTGTCTCAAAATCTCTCCGGCTCTTATGCCGGCGACAACGGCTTCGATATGTCATCCACAGTGTCGAGCCCGGCCAGTACTCTTGGTGGACGAGGCGTTTACCCTGATAGCTTCAGTGTCAGCGACCGATCCGGCCGGAACCATCTCAGCAAAAGCCAGGCCAGTCTGGATGATTCAGCTTCTACTACCAAGCGAAACCGTTTCAGCAAAAGACAGTCCAAGAATGGTCTTGGCCAACAGTTCTAATTAGTTTGAGGCTTACGACGTGCGGGGCCATAAGATCTTCACGGATCTTAGGGAGGGTTGAGGGTTGAGGCGAGAACAGCGGCTTTCAGGCAGAGAGCCAGCGAGAGAAACTTATTAGAAGTTTGTAATGCAACGAAATATGGTTCGGGAGGAAGCATTCGGGAGCGTGGCGTATTATCGGCTATGCACTCTTCGACAACTTGACCTCTTTTACAGGGAAGTCCTGCAGCTTTCCACTCAATGGAAGCATTCACGAGGTGGGGATTGTGGTCTTCGCTGCTTCGCTCAGGCGGTTTTATGGGTCTAATAGGTCCTCGGTGAAAATAAACCCACGAGATTTGAAAACCGTGATCATGCGTGTGCTCCCGTCAATATCCAATGACCTTCTGGAAATGGATCGAATACCGCCGCCGCACGCAGGTGGACTCAGAAACCGTATGTACGGATGACGTTGGTAGATGTAATCAGGTACTTGCCTACCTACCTGATGTGAAGCCACCAACATCAGAGGAGAGCATAGCAGTGTTGGTGTAAATGTCTATAGCTTGTAGATGAAAGGTGACGGGAGGTAACCGTTCTCGCGAAATGGTTACATTATCTCTATTGTGGTAGTCTTTTGGCACTCGAGCATTATGGACGGGCGGTGGAGGTATACCATGTTAGTACCAGGTGTCACTCCCGTCTGCTGGAGTGGCTCGGATATCTACCTACCTAAGGTACTCTCAGTTAATGTGGAGCCTGGACAGGGGCTGCTGCATCAACCGGCCAATTGTGGCCGGTATAGGTGCTACCTTGCGCCTGACCCTGCGCCTTCGCCGCCCGTCGTTCACTCATGCACGCGCGCGTTTGAGAAACGACGCGACCTCTCACATTTGGCATCTTTGGCAGCGTTATCTATGATTTTCGATCCTCAGTGGGAAAAAAATCTGGTTGTCGTCATTTGCTTTGCGCGCATTTTTCCAAAAGTCATCATCGAAAATGCAGCCCCAGTACCGCCAATACGCCGCCCATGCTGGCGCGCCGCAGGTTCCCCAGCGGGCTCCACATGCCCCAAATCAACGGAGAGGCGGCATCGGTATGCCCGTTCCTTCTTTACCTTAGCCTTTTGGGACCTCGGATACCTTTTTCCCTTGCTCTACTGTTGCGCGACAAGTCCCAAAGTGCTAGACACGACGACGATTGTGCTAACTATGCCGCCCAAAGGTCCTATCATGCCTCCGAGCCATCATGCTCAAGCAGCCATGAACCAGGCCGCCATGGCGCAGCACCATCCTCCGGGCCAGGCCCTCACGAGCGAGCTTGCCAAGCGTCGCAGCAGAAAGCCGACCGATAAGACATTGCCTGATGGTGTCGACGAATGCATCACGGATACCGAGGTCGCCCAGAGATACAAGGATTTGCGCGACTTTGAGCGACGTCTGGACGCAGCCATGACGCGCAAGCGACTCGACATTGTCGAGACAGTTGGACGAAACGCAAAGGTTAGTAAATCTACGCGATGCGACTTCATTAGGAGCCATCCTCATCCCTCTCGGCATCACGCGACAGCAGAGCTAAGTCTTGCATTATAGCACTACAAAACCCTTCGTATCTGGATCAGCAATACTGTCGAGGACCAGGCATGGCAAGGAAGTGGTCTCAGCGTTGATAGCTTCGACTTCACCCCCAGCGCCGAGCCTTCTTACAGGGTCAAGATCGAGGGACGACTACTCGAGGACGGATCGGACGACACGTCGGGAGAAACTGACCAGAAGATGGAGTCTGCAGAAGTAGAAGGCGCGACTGGGTCAAGGAGACAAAGTTCTGCGCCTGTGAGCCAGAAACATCGACTTTCCCATTTTTTCAAAGCGCTGAACGTCGATTTCGATCGTACCCGCTCGAGGGCCGCATCCGATCAAACCGTGGAGTGGAAGAAACCTGCTTCGCAAGGCGCAGCGGCAAGTGCAGACTTCGACGAGTTCACCTTCAAGCGGAGCGGGGACGAGAACATGAACATCACTATCAACCTCCATCGCCAGGAAGATCCGGAGCGATATCTTCTCAGCCCTGAGCTGGCCGATGTTGTGGACATGGCTGAGGCTTCCCGCCAAGAGGTCGTCCTCGCAATTTGGGAGTACATCAAAATGATGGGTCTCCAAGAAGACGAGGAGAAGCGCAACTTCCGTTGCGATGAGCTTCTTAAGAAGGTTTGCTGTGACCTAACCAAGGAACGATGTTTGGCGTCTAACTAGTTGTCTAGATTGTCAACGGCAGCGATACTGGTATCATTCCTAACCTGAATGATTACATCCAACCCCACCTCCAACCTCTGCCACCAGTCAGCTTACCATACACCGTACGAGTTGACGAGGATTTTCACAGCGACGCACAGCCCACCATCTACGACGTGCGTGTGGCAGTAGATGACCCCTTGCGAGCCAAGCTGGTACCTTTTGTTACCACTCCTGCGTATGCGAGCGCCCTCAAGGAGGTTGTTGCTATGGATGAACAGCTAGCAACGCTTATCTCGGCCGTCGCGAGCTCTAAGGCGAAGCACTCGTTCTTCACGTCAATGAGCCAAGACCCCGCCAACTTTGTGAGAAATTGGATGAGTTCGCAGAAACGGGATCTTGAGATCATCATGGGAGAAGCAACCAGAGGAGGAGGCGAAGATGCTACGGGCGACGACTGGCGACGAGGTGGCAGGGACAGCGTTTGGACGACATCCAACGCGCGCGAAAGCGTCAGTGTCATGCTTGCCAAGCAAGCCCCGCAGGCGTCTAGGTGATGCGAGCAAAGTAATGAGTTGCGCGTGTTGAATTATTCTCATTTGTGCGAGGGATTCCCCCCCTCACGAACTCGGGCTGAAAAAGAGGGGCGTCAAGGGTTGAGGCTGGCTTGTGATGATGCGCGATATCATACTGTATTGTTTTCAGAGTGTAATGGATTATCGGCCTAGTGGGCGTTGACGAACCAACATTGACCAGGTCTACCGAACCTCGAACATCGTCCGCGTGTGTGACATCAATGGAGGAGCCCAGCGGCGATAGTACTAAAATCCGAGGCGGTGATTTCCCCGCAAACGACGCCTGCCGGCCCCGTGGCACCGTCTGATGGCCAACGGGCTGCAAGAAGCACATTTGCCTATATAAATCACAAAGACTTACGAGATGCCTGAGCTTGCACTCCAGTTTTGAGAGGATAATTTTGTTTGTCTACATTCCACGCACTGACATCGATTGAACAATGGCATCCTTCTTCGTCCCTGGCAACACGGCTGTCATCACTGGCGGTGCATCTGGCATTGGATTGGCAATCGCCAAGAAGTGCGTTGGCCATGGAATGAAGGTCCTCGTAGTTGATCGCGATACGAAGCTTCTTCAGGCGGCAAAAGAAGCCCTTGGAGAGTCCTCTGCCACATTCGAGCTGGACGTGAGCCTCCTTCAGGATTGGGAGACGCTCAAGACGGAAGTGAATACTTTCATTGAAGGTACATTCCTCCTTTCCTCCATTATCGCGTCTCCATGGTTGCAACGCCTCATGAGGCCCTCCGTTTCACGTACCAACTGCTACTCCAGGACGTATTGATCTATTGGTTCTCAATGCCGGCATCGGTGGCAAGTCGTCATGGCAGGATACAGACAGCTTCCGTAAAATCTTGGACACCAACTTATACGGCGTCATCAACGGAATCAGCAGTCTGCTACCCTTCGTTGGAAGTGGGCAGTCTTCCAAGTCGGCCATCGTCATCACGGGCTCTAAGCAGGGTATTACGAATCCACCAGGAAACCCAGCGTACAATGCCAGCAAGGCGGCTGTCAAGTCTTTGGCTGAGCACCTATCGTTCGACTTGAAAGACACCGCCACATCTGTGCATCTCCTAGTGCCGGGCTGGACGTTCACAGGCCTTGCTGGTGCTGCCCCTGGCAGGGAGAAGCCTGCCGCTGCTTGGACAGCGGAGGAAGTGGCCGAGTATCTGGAGGAGAAGATGACCGAAGGATTATTCTACATTCTCTGCCCAGATAATGAGGTAACCGAAGAAATGGATCGCAAGAGGATGATGTGGAGTATTGGGGATATTGTCGAAGGCCGGCCACCCCTGAGTAGATGGCGTGATGATTACAAGGATGAGGCACAGGCATGGATGGCCAAACAGTAGTACTGCTAGCTAATGGGACACCTTGTTTGTGAATAAAGCAGAAAGAAGAACCGCTTGTCGCTATCGTCTGTCGATTGATGAAGAGCAATGCACTCATAAAGGACTTCATGTCTGTCGTCTTCCTTGTCTCTGGAAACCCGAGCTCAAAACGCCGCGCAAATGCGAATCCCATCATTGCATCTCCCAACCCTTACTTCCCACTGCTAGTAACGATTCACCGACAAATGCATTGTAGAGCCCTTCCATGGGTAAGACACAGCTATGTAAGTCATACCTATTGCATTACAACTAGGCCATAAGGCAACAAAACCCGTTTGCCTGTGGTCGACCTAACCGCCACCTGGCATGCCATGCCTCTGAGGCGGCACTGGGTTCGGTGGCATATTCCTGATTTGTTTGATCAAAAACTCTCTTTCGTCGATGAATTGCTCGTCATCGGTTCTATCCTCCAAGAAGTGAGACAGGAATGTAAGCAGTTTCTCCCGGTTCATGAGTAAGATCTTCTGGACCGCGATGGATTTGTGGGGGTTGGCCACAAAAACCTTGAAGACATGAAAGCCCTCATACTGCACCATCTTGCGATCGTCTCTCAAGAGGTTCATGCATATCTTGAGATGCTCTCCACGGTCCACGTACGCTGTCATGACGCTGTAATTTGAACGGTCCAGCAAGATTTCACCCAAAAGCTTGATGGACTGCCGCTTGGTAACATAGCTGTTTGACTGCACAAGGATGTTGTTGTACTTGTCGAAGAATAGGTCAAAGTTGACAGAGAGGTATCTCGGCACCAGCTCCTTGTGTTTTGTCAGAAGTTCCTGCAAGACGCGAGTGTTAGCGACGTAGTCTTGAGCCCCTTTAGTCCCTCCAAGTAAGGGGGTTTACCCTGAATGTGGTAAAGGCATCCGCGGCTACTTCGAATGAGCTCTTGTCGACCCAGTCAAAAAATCTCCAAAAGACGCCCTCGCCGCTCTGTCGACGGTCCCTGTCAATCAAGTTGATGCCCTTATTGCTGGACCCAGACTCCTCGTTGTCGTCGTAGAGAATGATGGCGGCAGCAGCCTCCGACTTGAGAACTTCTCGAAGTACAGAGCCGGCAGGTGTTGCACTCTCTTTATGTTCGTAGCCGCGGCACAGTTCGAGGAGGACTTGTGGACGGTTGTTGACGACATAAGACAGAGCTAGAGGATCGCTTTTCGGGGATGCCGTAGGCGGGCGGAATCGGAAAACGTAGGAGAAGATGACCTGGGTGTCTTTCCTCGATTCGAAGGGCAGACGCCAAAGGTTCACCGCCAGTAAGTACAACAAGTCTTCCTCAATCAAGCCGGTGACCAGCTGGTATATCTGTTCTGGGCTGCTATCGGACTCTGACTTGAAGTTAACGGCTGACTTCGACAAGGGCTGTATGAGGCAGGCGTACCATGGGTTCCCTGTAAGATAAACTTCATCTGGTTCAGGACTTTCGCGAGCTCTTCGGCCTGGATTGGAAATGGACGTTAGAGATCGAGCAAGCGCTAGCTAGAGCTGGAGGGTGTAACCAACCTTGGCGGCGCCATTTGGCCCTTCGAGTTTCGTTACGTGGTCTCTGGCTTGTTTGGGTAGGTCAACGGCAGGCCTTGTCCGAGCCCGGCCGAAGAGGAACGACATGGCGAAGGTGGTGGGCTAGGCCAAGAAACGATTTCCTGGGGACCGCCGGACGGCTCGCTGGTGAGGCCACAAATAGCTATGGTTCCCGATCTTGAGTATAAGGAATGGGCAGGTAGTAGCTAATCGCTACGACAGGCAGCTCCTGAACCGGGCTCGTTGGCAACAATCGGTAGCTGATATCGAAGGGGTGGTGGGCTGAGATTCGAGCCGTTCGATGTGGGACAGCCTAGGCGGGCTCCGTCGACGAAGGTATATGTTTTGCGGCGATGGTCTATCGGGGACAAGATGGAAAGGCACGATTCGAATGAGGGGAGGCAGAGAGGAGGCAGAGAGGAGGAAAGAGGAAAGTCTCAGATTGGTCGAAAGAGAGGAGACAGGCCGATGGGCGTAGTGTTGGGCCGAGTCCGGGTCGGGGTGTTGTTTACGTTAATACACGGCGGACGACGATCCCGCCGAGAAACACTGAGGATTGGAAGCGTTGCTCTTGTGATGAAAGTGGTTGCTTGGGGACGTCAAATTGGCCTGCACCTTCTACTGAGACCGCACGTTGCCTCGCCTCCTAGGCTTGGGTGACACTCCTTGGATCAGGTACCCAGGGCACCTTGGGGCTGGCCTTGTAGCATGCCTGTTTGGAAGACCTGGGGAGGTACCTTTGTAATGTCTGTGAGGTGAGGTCCAGGCGGTGACCTCGGGACTGAGTTGCCCTGGGGGAAGAACCCAACGAATGGGCCGCCACAGTAAAGTGCTGGTTCGGAGTGGTGCGAGAACAACGGACCTGGGACCTACCACCTCAAGTTCCGTGCCTACGTAGTCGTTTAAGTTGTGTGCGTGTGTGCGTACCTTAGACACCTAGGTACCTGGGAGCGTTTTTGCTCTCCACCTGGTACTTTGGGTTCCTTCACTGTATCTCCTCCCGAAGTGCCCCTGACTCCGTATACGGAGTACCTACCTTATTCCCTGTAGGAGCACCAAGAATACCCGGGCACTGGGGTTCCTACGGATGTCGCCAGTACTCACCCACCAACCCCTCACCTAAGTGTCCATGCTGAGATGACTAAGGAAGGTAAACTGAGTGCCGGTCGTCTGAGATGACTTGGTCGATTGCCCCGCGCTCGATAAGTCAATCGAGAAAAAATTACCCCACTGACTCACCTCACGCACTGAACCCCTCCAAATACCCCCAAGTCACCCACGTCCTCTCAGATCCATATCCTCAGTATCTTGGGTTTTGACTCACATGACCCATTGACGCTTCTTCGTGGTCTTTCTAAGAGCTCTTCGTTTTTAGAGGGCTTGGCTTCGTTGATCTCCAGAAGCTACGCAGCTCCCGCCTACCTTCCTCAACGAAACCCTGCCTACCAAATTCACTACTGTTTTTGGTGTGACAATATTCGGTTCGGCAGAGCCGCAAACCGCAACCAGGCTACGTTCCCTCACGCGGTTCTTGACTTCAACTTTGTCGCCTTTCGAGCAACATCATGTCTATTGACTTCCCCAAGGAGGAGGAGGCTGTCCTCCAGAGATGGCGTGAGATCAAGGCATTTGAGCGTCAGGTAAGTCCGATCTCTTTTCGCTCCAGAGACAACAGTCGCACTCTCTGTTTACGTCGAGGCCATTTCGTGTTTGTTTGCTCCCGTACTGACAATCATCGCGCATGCAGCTCGAGTTAACAAAGGGCAAACCCCTTTACACCTTTTATGACGGGCCTCCTTTCGCCACTGGTCTTCCTCACTATGGCCACTTGCTGGCCTCCACCATCAAGGACATTATCCCGAGATATTGGTCCATGAAGGGCTTTCACGTTGAAAGACGCTTCGGGTGGGACACCCATGGACTACCTATCGAGCACGAGATTGACAAGAAGTTGGGCATTTCTGGCAAGGCTGCTGTCATGCAGTTGGGATTGAAGAACTACAATGCCGAATGTCGATCTATTGTCATGCGGTACAGCGGGGAGTGGCGCCATACCGTTGAGAGACTCGGCCGTTGGATCGACTTCGACAACGACTACAAGGTAAGATCGCGTACCATGTATCCTAGACTACTGAGATTGACTAACGCCCGTTCTCCGAAGACCATGGACCCTACCTTCATGGAGTCTGAATGGTGGGTTTTCAAGCAGCTATTCGACAAAGGCGCTGTCTATCAGGGCCATCGCGTCATGCCTTACTCAACAGCCCTGACCACAGCATTGAGCAACTTTGAGGCCAATCAAAACTATCAGGATGTCAGCGACCCTGCCATCGTCATCTCATTTCCCCTGATCGAAGACCCCGAGACTCACCTGCTGGCGTGGACGACGACGCCGTGGACCTTGCCTTCGCATCTCGGACTGGCTACGCACCCTGATCTCGAATACATCAAGATTCTTGACGAGAAGTCAGGCAAGAAATACATTCTGCTCGAGAAACTTCTTGGTACACTGTACAAGGACGTGAAGAAGGCCAAATTCAAGATCCTTGAGAAGATCAGCGGCAAGGCCATGCTCGGCTGGAAGTACGAGCCCCCCTTCAACTACTTCTATGATGAATACAAGGACGTTGCCTTCAGGGTACTGAACGCTACCTACATTACTGATGACAGTGGTACTGGCATTGTTCACCAGGCACCTGCTTTCGGTGAGGACGATTACAACGTCGCCGTTGCAGCTGGCATTGTCACCGAGAACAGGGCGCCTCCCGACCCTATTGACGACAGTGGTCACTTCACCAGCCGCGTCTCTGATTTCGCCGGCATGCACGTCAAGGAGGCCGACAAGCATATCATCAAACACCTGAAGGGTGCCGGAAAGATTGTGGTCGACTCCACGCTCAAGCACTCATACCCCATGTGCTACCGTTCTGACACTCCTCTCATTTACCGCGCAGTACCCTCGTGGTTCGTCCGCATCCCCGAGATTATTCCTCAGATGCTGGAGAACATCAAAGGCTCTCACTGGGTGCCTTCTTTTGTCAAGGAGAGGCGGTTTGCCAGCTGGATCGAGAACGCCCGTGACTGGAACGTCTCACGAAACCGTTACTGGGGTACTCCCATTCCACTTTGGGTCAGCGATGATTTGGAAGAGCGAGTGTGTATCGGCAGCGTGCAGGAGTTGCGTGAGCTGAGTGGCTACACTGGAGACCTGTCTGACCTACACCGAGACAGCATCGACCATATCACGATTCCTAGCAAAATGGGCAAGGGAACTTTGAGACGCATTGAGGAAGTGTTCGATTGTTGGTTCGAATCTGGCAGTATGCCATACGCCAGTCAGCACTACCCCTTCGAGAACGTTGAAAAATTCGAGAAGTCGTTCCCTGGTGACTTCATTGCCGAAGGCTTGGATCAGACCAGAGGGTGGTTCTATACCCTACTTGTCCTGGGCACACATCTTTTCGGCAAGATTCCATTCCAGAACTGTGTTGTCAATGGCATAGTCTTGGCCGAGGACGGAAAGAAGATGTCGAAGCGTCTCAAGAACTACCCAGTTCCTGATTTGGTCATGGACAAATACGGTTCCGATGCTCTCCGTCTCTATCTCATCAACTCGCCAGTTGTGCGTGCTGAACCACTGAGATTCAAGGAGTCTGGTGTCAAGGAGGTTGTTCAAAAGGTCCTACTACCTCTCTGGAACAGCTACAAATTCTTCGAAGGCCAAGTGACGCTGCTCAAGAAGGTCGAGGGCATCGATTACACTTGGAGTCCAAAGGCCCTGTCGAACAACGAGAACGTGATGGATCGGTGGATCTTAGCTAGCTGCCAGAGCTTGCTGCAATTCGTCAACCAGGAGATGAGTGGTACGTTGAGATTCTTACACCTTTGTCCACGAACCTCGCTAACATGCCTTTTCTACTAGCCTATCGACTTTATACTGTTGTGCCGCGTCTGCTCGGGCTCATTGAAAACACGACGAACTGGTACATCAAGCTGAACCGAAGACGTCTCAAGGGTGAGAATGGAGTCGAGGACACCCAACATGCGCTTAACACCCTATTCGAGGTCATCTTCACGCTATGCCGCGGCCTTGCTCCTTTCACTCCCTTCATCACCGACACAATTTACCAAAAGCTCCGCCCCTTCATTCCTAAGGAGGCTGAGGCAGAAGACGCGCGCAGTGTCCACTTTTTGCCGTTCCCCGAGGTGCGCCAGGAGTTGTTCGACGAGGTTGTCGAGCGCAGAGTCGCTAGAATGCAGAGGGTCATTGATCTGGTCAGAGTGTCTCGCGAGAGAAGAGCAGTCGGCCTCAAGACTCCGTTGAAGACGCTCGTTGTCATTCATCGCGATCCTCAATATCTCCAAGATCTCGAGTCTCTCTCATCTTACATCAAGGAGGAGATGAATGTAAGAGATCTAGTTCTCACATCTGACGAGGCCAAGTACAACGTCCAGTATAGCGTTACTGCCGACTGGCCCGTGCTAGGTAAGAAGCTCAAGAAGGACATGGCCCGGGTCAAGAAGGCGCTCCCAACACTCGGCAGCGACGCTGTTAAGGAGTACTCGGAGAAGAAGGTGATTCTCGTCGATGGAATTAAGTTGGAGGAAGGTGATCTCGTTGTGAGACGAGGTTTGAAGGAAGACGAGTCCTCGAAGAATCTGGAGACGAACTCGGACAATGACGTGCTCACCATTTTGGACGCTGAGCTTCACGTGGAACTGGCCCACGAGGGTCTCGCAAGAGAGATCATCAATCGCGTACAGCGTCTCAGAAAGAAGGCCAAGCTGCAGCCGACGGATGACATCAAGATGGAATACAAGGTTATCAGCGACCCTGACAATATTGGCCTCGAAGAGGTGTTTGTCTCGCAGACCAGAGTCATTGAGAAGGCGCTCCGCAGACCGGTGGATAAGCACGAAGTCACTACGGTGGAAGGCGAGGTACCGAACGAAAAGCAGAAGGGAATCATTGCGGAAGAGGAGCAAGAAGTGCAGCATGCGACATTCTTACTCCGCCTGCTCGAGCTTTAGATGTGAGATATGCAGTGAGTACAACCTTACGGTAGCTTAGATCACTGGAACATGAGTAGTTGAAAATGATGAAGGCTTAAGAGGCCCAAAGAAAAGACTGAGTTGACCGCAACAACGTTCAAAGTTTCAGAGACTGGTCTATTGTGCTTCTACCATCATTATCTTGCTTTGCGGGCAGCAATCTTTTGTGATTGAATGATCCAGTGTTAGCGACATGGTAAACTCGGGAGAGACAGAGGTGGAAAGGGGCATGGTGGTGAGAAATACAAGATAGCAATCCTTCAGTCTGAGAAACTCCTTCAAACATTTGTCCTTGTGGACAGAGTTGTAGTCGGCAACGATGCACTTGCCGTACATGGAGGTCTACATCTTGGTCAGTACGTGTTCGAACCGAAAGGTGGGTAGCTATGGCGGGACCAGGAGCCACGACAGGAGGACTGACCTCTGTTGAACATTGGCCGACTGCGGCTGCAAACTTCTGGATGGGCCGTGTGCGAACCATGGTAGCGGCTTGAGATGAACCTCGGGTGGAAGGGGGTAGAAGCAGAGTGCGAGATATGATTGTCGCGCAATTGATGGAGTTTCGTCGTCACAACACGAGGGTACGGGTGGCTAAATCTGCCTTACCTTGGAACGCATCAAAGACGTCGCCGAGATCTTGCCTTTAGGGTAAGGTGAGAGGTACATAGGCAACGGGTGTATTAGGTACCTACAGTAAGCCTAGGAATCGCAGTGCCTTACCTCAGTTGCCTCCTTTGGAGCAATGCGACTATCTTAGTGTAATTGGATGAGCCCGTATTGAATTAGAAGTATATGTAGCCAAGTCTAAGACTCGGTTATATATATGATTTCCTTTTAGCTACCTCGAGGGACCTACAAAAGGCACCTGAAATACCCTAGGTACGCAAGGCAGGCTAGTCAGGTACCTACCTCAAGGTACCTTGGTGTGGCGGGGGACAGCCCGTTGCAACACAGGGCACAAGCTCCAGAGAGGCTCTAGGTATCTATACAGTATGTAGGCTTTGGTAGCACCCATTTTGAGCAGACTGGCCTATCAGCAATGCGTCGCGACACCAGGATCAACTGGATTGCAGCCCAGCCAACAGCAACGTCCCCACAGCGGCTACCTTGGTGCTCCGCCATAGGACGCGAAATAAACAGACGAGAAGAAAGAAAAGAATAGGAAGAGAAAATAAAGACGGGGTTGGGAGCAGCTATGGATTGACCACCTGCTGATACCTGCAAACATATCTGTGTGTCTGTCTGGACAAGGCCGCTGCAACTGGAGAGAAGCAGCTAACTCATCACAATATACTTGACCTGCCCATTGTGGCATCCGGCCTTGTTCCCGTCAACCTCGCTTTTGGACATCATCTATCGTCGCCCTTCGCTAGCCAATTGCGACCTCGTTAGCCTCCCACGCGCCTAACCTGCGGTGCGCGGTGGACATGGCAGCGCCGCGACCAGCTTATCGCCATCATTCCGATTTGCGACTCTTGCGACGCGACTCAACACCCGTTACATGAGCAATCGTCGCTGCAAAACGTGAAGCTCCTTAAGCCTCTTGTCATATCAGCTGCCAGCAGTACATTTTGTCGCGGTCAAATGTATTCAGCATCCTTCCCCGACTATACACCATCACCGAATTCAAATCTGGCTCCTTAGCATTACCAAGGCAAGTTACAATCGTCCTCGGCTACCGTGACTACCATCATCATCAATACTACTACCACCAACACCGCCGCAAACTCTTCTACGGCCATTTTATTATGCTCCCAGCCTGGCGCCAGTTCACATGCCGTCGCTGCCGCATCGCCCAGTGCTGGCCCCCCGTGACGGCATATCTAGCTTTGTGTCTGTCCAAAGCTCGGATTCCTATTACAGCGATCATGGTAAGTACAGCTCAAAGTGCACTTTCACGGCATCATTACCTACACCTACCATGCTTTCGACTGCAAAGCGCACTCCGTCTGATAACTACTCCCAGAAATCGCCATCCTACACCGTGTCGTCACGGCAGCCCAGGAGAATCTCGAACTCCTTCCCGAGGGCGAGCGATTGGCAACAAACGCCTTATTCCAGGCTTATGATGCCGTGCTCCCACTCTTCGGCATCGACCCGGAGGAAGAAAACCATATCTCGCGCCTCGTATTCCGCGTTGGCGGTGAACGCGGCGAAGGGTCACTCCAGGAGAAACTTGACGCCGTTTTGTCAAGGATGGGCATCGGCCTTGAGTTCGGAAGCGAAGGGTCCAGGGCATTATCAAACAACGGCGACGACGACAACGAAGATGAAGACGGAGCCGGAGCCGGATATGTGGAGGCTGCTACGCCGCAGCCTGCGCTTACAAACACCGATCGAGACTCTATCACGTCCGGAGACGAGTCCTCTCAAGAGGTCGAGCTTGCACCCCGAGAACCATACGCGACTCTGCTATCTTCGCAGGCGCAAGCATCACATCACTTGGGCTATGCTGCATCTCCCCCAAGGCTGACGCGCGTTGGCTTGGTATCGAATCACTTGGATCTGAAGTCTATCAACCATAATAAACCGGCACCCCAAAGCTATACCCCCTCGACGGCTGGAAACACAGAACAAAGTCGTCAAAGCCGGCAATCAGGATCTGGCACCAGTGTGCAACGTGGCGCCAGCGACACCACAGTTCAGCCCATTGAGGCGCCTTATATCCACCCCGCAAATGAGAACGAGACGGCCGCTCTACCAATAAGGACAAAGCCCATAAGAACGGTGAATTGGCTGCTTCCGCCTGATACCACCAGCATCAGCGCCGGCACCGGCGTCGGTGCTACTGCCCCAGAACCAGTTCGAAATGGACCGCGGGCTTCTGAGGTCATGGAAGACCATGTTGTGCATGATACTGAGACACGGGGTTCTCGTGAACATGAGCTCAGTACTCAAAAGCCTTCAGTACACGCGCCTCCTGTACATGAATCTACGGTCCAGGAGATTGCCACTCATCAAGCAACCAAAAGGAAGCAACCTGTCGAAGAACCCCCTGCAGGCGGGATCGAGGGTGATGAAGCAAAGCCAGTGATTCACGATGAAATCAACGGAGGGCCTGATGACGAAGCAAGATATGCGGTACTGGAGTGGAAATCGACCAAAGTAAAGGGGTACTTACTGCTCCTAAGAGGATTGTCACACTGGAAACAACACGCTCTTGACAAGCTCGAACGAATGGCCGTAGCAAGGAGGCATATTTTGCGGATGCGTCACTTCGACCCGTGGGAGCTGGTCACGGCCGAAACTAGGATCCGGGGTCGTCGTGTGTTCACTTCTCGTCTTATGGCCTCATGGCTCAGGCGCGCTGGGGAAGACTTGGACACAGAAGATGCAAGCTTAGCCCATGCCCAACGGAATATGGCCCAGAATGCCCTCAGACAATGGTCAACCTCCTGCCTAAGTCCAATGGAACCTCGTTTTCCGCCGCGCACTGTGTCCATTCATCTGCAACAATGGCATTCGGCTTGCTCAAGTTTACAGGGGCTTAGGTCGCACATGGAGAATCTGTACGAAGAACATGGAAGGTTTCGGGTCTTGAGGACATGGTCCCACCAAGCAGCGTCTCATCTGAGAGACGTTGCTGCATTTCGCAGATACCATATCGTTCAGGGCCCTTTACACCAGTGGCATCTTGACTCAAGGGTAGAGGTCTTCAAGTCCAAGCTGGAAATCAAGCTCGTTCGCAGCTGCTTGTCGAGGTGGCAAAGCGCGTGCATGGCCCCACCGATATTCGGCCAGATCAACGCCCTCAGCCGCGGGATTGCTGTGGATTCTGTGTCCGGCATGGCCTTGCCTAGACCGCGGCGAGGCGTGACATCCCTCATGGCCATATCAGATCGTCTGCTGAAGACCAAAGTTCTTTGCAATTGGCAACGACAAGCTTCAGTAGTCGCCAAGACGAGCACGAGAACGCGTCGGTTTGCGTCGCATCGAGGGGCACATAAGGCATTGGAAATGTGGCATATCGACGTCGATGAAAAAAGAAACCTCCAGAAGTGGGTGCAGCGCGGTTGTTTCTACATTAGTGTCACGCATGCACTCAAGACATGGCGATCTAGATCAGCTTGGAGGTCAGGGACTCGAAAGTCCTATGCCCGATGCAGACAGCACGTCAAAGCTACCTTCACCAAAGGTTATCTTGATTTGTGGAAGACAGCTACTCGTGCTCACGTGAACTTGGGCTGGAAAACGGATCAGCACCACATTGTAGTGGAACATGGTCGTCTCATTCATATGCTGAAATTGTGGCGAGAAGAGAGCAGTCGCGACGGGGGGACGAGTAAGCTTTTGACTGCTGCATGGGTGGACGAATGGAATGGAATGTCCCAAGATCTCGCCGTCAAAGAGGACCGCGTCAAACAGGCTTGGTCGGTGAACCTGAAGTCACGTTGGTGGAGTCAGTGGCAATCATCTTTGCTGCAATTGAAAAGCCGAGAATACGTGGCACTAGATGTTAAGGAAAGGAACAGCAAGAAGGCTGTACGACGACTTCTGCTGCATTGGAAGGGAGAAAGGAATCTGAGCACATCTTACCAGTCAGCAACACTGAGAGCTAGTCTCGGCAGCTCAAGAAGAGGAGCTGGCTTCGTGGCCAGTCGCACCTCACTGCCACTCTCGAGAGCAGTTCACGAACGGCACAGCGGACCAAGTTTTCGCGGTTCCAGGATACAAGAAGTGGAGCCAACGGCTGACGACGATGATCACGACGGAACCGGGTCTGGACCAGATACTGATGGAGTTGTGGCGAATACGCCGACCCGGTGGACGGGTATGGCGTCTTCTGTGAGGCTTCCGTCCATGACACCTTTTGCTCCCCTTCCAACGCCATTTGAACGAGAGCTCCGAGAACGATACAACCGAAGCGTGCCTACAGCTGCGACTGGCCAGATGAGCAGCCTTTCCTTCGCACAGGCGCAAAGGCTCTCTGTGGCCGGGACACGGCGAGCAGCCAGGGAGAATACAGCGGATATTGGCAGAGGTGGTTGATGAGACATGGGCGGAGACCCTTGATGAGAACAGGCGAAATGCTATGGTCATGTGGATATCATTCATGTGTTTGGAAACCTTTACCCAGTATACCCAGACGGGGCAGTTTTGTATCACAAACGAAGACTTTCGGCATGGGCTAGAAATCAGTGTTTGTTTTCCTAGTACCTTTGTGGGACAAATGCGCAACATCAGCCCAAGGTAAGATGCGATATTCAGTCAGGCAGGCCGCAGGCTCACCTCAAGGCACCTTGCTACCTACCTACATGATAATACCTCAAGGAGTACGGGTACAGATGCAAAGGGACCAACTGGGTGACAAAACAAGATGCCGGTCAAAGCTAAAGTGGCCTCCTTCTATAACACGTGCCCATGAATGCATATCCGCGCCCTTACAAACGTATCTTCTAAAGGGATGTTTAAAACAAACCAAAATAACAAGCGGTGGTAGTAGTATAAAAAAGATGGAGAGAGCTGAGGTACCGTACTGAGCGGCAAACCATCATGTCCGGGTCTTTGTCACCAAGTTGGGGACATAAGGTACCGACCGACCCCACACCCCTGGGTTGACCATCCACTGCAGTGCGCAATGCGCATATCTACGGTATTAGTACGGATACGTTACCCTCGTGTGGCTTGGGAACCTTGCCATGACATGGTCCAAGTTTAAGCTCCTCACAACACTTGCATTGACCGAACTCGGTCTATGACAGAGCTCAATTATCACCCCAAACCAGACGAGGAGCCTCTGGAAAGACCTACCACGTCTCAGACTTTGACTGAAGCCCAACCCGCAATACTCGACAACTATCGACCAAGCAGACCCGGCATCACGTCCGCCTAAGCAATGCTGCTGTGGCTTTCTTGCTAGTAGGATGAGAGCAGTCCTCCCAGGTAGGCCAAGGTCTGGGCTTCAAGCTCTCGCGACGGGCTTTTGGGACTCGAGGCACTTCAATGTGAGCCACTCGATCATGCTTTGATGACCTTCTATCATTATCGCTACCATAGTGCTAACTTCTGGTCGCCCCCAGGTCTACATAACCGGCAGCGCGTTTACGATCCTTGGCGATGCCGACACAATCATTCAGACAATATACGACGACGATCCAAGCCATCTGCAGGCCGCAGCCTTCGATGAATCCTCGGGCAAGATTGCGACTTGCACCGAATCCGTCATTAGAGTCTATAGACCTTTTGGCCAGTCCGAAAATGCGCTAAAGGTGAGTTCGTCCTCCTTACCCAAACGACGTAGTCTTCGCCCTCGGGTTCCATCTCCCATTCCGTCACCCCGTCCGCACCTGTCGCCTGTACTGCCTTGCGAGCAAACGCTGACGACACTCCCGCGTATCAGTGGGGTCTACAATCATCGTGCCCAATTCATGACTACCAACATGCCACCAAGGGGATCTCTCTAAGCTGGGGCGGCAACGAGGAACTCCTGGTTGCCCATTCCGCCTTATACTTGTACTCAACCGCCGACGAGCCGGAACTGTTATGGACTAAACACCTTCCGAATTCTGTGAAACTAGCAGAGATATCATACGATTCGGCATACATAGCATGCGTAGGCGCGCATGATTGTCTCGTCAAAGTCTGGCGCCGCTTGACATATGGTGCTGAAGATGTGCGCTTCGACCTGACCTACCTACGCCACCCAGACCTAGTCACGAGCCTACGTTGGCGAAAACCGCTACATACCGATCAAACTGTAGAGAACGTTCTCTTCACAACATGCGCCGATAATGTTGTCCGAGTATGGACTGGCACTGATACGCATGCCCTTCGACACATGAACCTTTGGGGGTCCGTCGACTTGGCTTCGTCCTTTCGAGACCTTGGACTTGGTTCCGCATACCCTACAGCGCCGCTGGTCACTTTCGTTATCGATGGAAGAGAGGTGTCTGCTGCTACAGAGCTGGCCGTTCAGCGGTGTTCCGTGAAGGATATACCGCGCGATGCTGCTCTCGAACGCCTCATTTCTCTGGCCAATAACAGCGCTGAGCTATGTGTTGCCTCTGACGCTATTGGAAATATGATGGTATTTGCTTTTGAGGACGTGGGCTCCAAGGCGAGAAAGTCCCACGATGCCATCAGAGTGACAGGCTTCAAGTCACACACTCTTGATTTTAGGTCTGACCAGTACGTCAGCATACAAAGCTATTGCGACCGAGCCACTGGGCGACTACATGTGCTTATTCATGACTTTGACGGCCAGATCCAAGTATACGACGCCGACTTAGCAGAGTTTCTAAGCGGAAGGAACAAGTCGAGCCGTCTTGCTCGGCGCTGTATCTGGGCCGGCCATTCATCGCCTATCCAAAAAATGGTTCGCAATTTCAGCGGTCGCGCTGTTGTTTCTAGAACCGAGGAAGGCGAAAGCATTGTCTGGACGCATTCCGAAACCAGTCAGACCAGCTTGTCGCGCCAGAGTGTCATCCAGGGAAACGCTCATATTCATCGGATATGTGTTTTGCGCAAAGGCCGTTTTGTCATATTCCTAGAGCACGGGAAAATATCGCTATGGGACTGCCGGCATCAGAAAGCCATATTGCTCGCGAGTCAGTCGTACGACATCTCAGGAAAGCCCTTGTGCTTATTGATTTTGCCTCGACATCGAGTTGAGGAGTATGCCGTTGCTCACATTGCAACTGTCACATCCGAAGAGGAAGGGCTTGTTTGGGAAGTTAAGTTACCTCGATACTCCAGTCAAGGTGCCAATGCATATGCCAATGGCCAAGAGGAGACTTCGATCAGCGAGTTTTGCAGATTCAAACTGAAAGACGCCGAGGGGATCGCCTATATGCTCCCTGTCGACCCAGCAGGATCTTCGCCCGCCACATCTGGCTTTCTCGATGTATTTGCCAGAGACATTGCAGTGTCGTACACTCACGCAGGACGGGTAGACTTTTGGACAGCGAGAGTCGGCAATACGGGGAAAAGCGTCGGATGGCTCTCAACCTCCTCAGCAGAGACGGGCCTTGTTGAACCGGCTCTCGTCAGTGGCAGTACTCTGAAGAAGGCTGCAATCGTGGATTCCGCAAGATCTCAGCTGTTTATTTGGGACATCGGTGGTGCTCGACTTGAGTTTACACGGGACTATGGAAGACACAATACGATACAAGACCTCGACTGGACTTCGACGCCTGATTCACAATCTATCCTCGCCGTTGGCTTCCAGGCGAAAGTAGTTCTGCTCAGCCAGATGCGGTTTGACTACTTGAATAAGGGACCGGCCTGGGCCGCAGTCCGGGAGATCAGCATTCGCGAATTCACTCCTCACCCAATAGGAGATTCAACCTGGCTAGGCGATGGACATCTCGTCATCGGGTCAGGTAATCAGATGTTCGTTCACGGGAGGGAGTACGACCTCTCCGGCTCCTTGATCAACAGCCTGCAACTACCGCACAGGAAGAACGGCGTCTGGGACCTTTTTGACGCTGTTCAGAGGTTTAATGGCCCTCTGCCGGTTTTCCACCCTCAGTTCCTGAGCCAATGTATCCTTGCAGGGAAGAGCACTATAGTCCGAACGATTCTGATGTCACTGCACAAGACTCTCAAGTTCCTCATTGCAGGTGAGACTATCGATGACTACCTGGGACTCGAACCAGCGGTTTTTTACTCACCCGGGGTAAGGCATTTGGTTATTACGTTAACCGTCACTTGAACCAAAGGTGGAGCAGAGGCTAACTCGGTCACCAGGCCTCACCGACGCAAGCATCAGAGCCCCAAGTAGGGTCTCACTTCAGCCTACAAGTATCTGCTGACGAAACAGACGACTCAGAAGAGCCTTTCAGCGAAGACACCGCACTTGCCATCAATGGTCGTCTTACCGAAGTTGGCCTCCAACAGCTATCGGGTCATGAGCAAATACAGCTGGCTGATATCGTTGAATGCGTGGGGATCGTCGAGAAACAGCGCAGATCCCTAGACGAGAATGGTGCGCGTTTTATGCTCTTTTTCCGCCAACATGGGCTTCGCAAGGGCCGGACAAGTGAGATTCAGATGTCCTGGCGAGAGATCAACTGGGCCTACCACTCGACCAGCCAGGATATCCTCACTGATTTCGTCTCCAAACAATGCCACGGTGCACTACGCTGGGCGGATGCGCGGGAGAGCGGCATGTTTATGTGGCTCACCGATCGGAACGCCTTGGTACGCAGGCCCTTTTTGCACCGCCGAGCAGTCCAGGTCAGCTAACGATAAACGTAGCTTGCTCAATTTGAGGTTGTTGCAAGGAACGAATACACCAAGAGCGAGATGAAAAATCCGGTCGACTGTAGCATCTATTACCTGGCTCTCAAGAAAAAGACAGTCCTCCAGGGACTGTGGCGAATGGCTCACTGGAATAGAGAGCAGGGGGCAACGCAGAAGTTGCTGTCTAACAACTTTGAAGACCCGAAATGGAGGACAACGGCGCTGAAAAATGCTTACGCGCTGCTAAGCAAGCGACGCTTTGGTGAGTCGTGAAGTGTAACGAGAAATTTCGAGGGCTGACATACGGGCACACAGAGTATGCCGCAGCATTTTTCTTACTTGCAGACCACCTGCAAGATGCTGTCAATGTCTGTTTGAATCAACTTAAGGACCTTCAGCTCGCAGTAGCTATCGCGCGTGTCTACGAGGGAGACCGAGGTCTAGTGTTGAAAAGGCTCCTAGAAGAAGAGGTACTAGCTGTGGCTGCCAAGGAGGGCAACCGCTGGCTCGCATCCTGGGCCTTCTGGATGCTGAATCGTAAGGATATGGCGGTCCGGGCCCTGATTGTAAGTTCTGCTGCTTGGCTCTCAGATGATATGCCTTTTTTTTTTTTTTTGGCCAGTACCTAACGTATCCTTGGTGTTATAGTCACCGGTTTACACCCTGGTCGAGACGCCGTGCTCTCCAAACATGCAGTCGAAATTGTTCCTCACGGACGATCCGGCGTTGGTCGTACTGTACTCACAGCTGCGGCAGAAAACACTCCAGACCCTTCGCGGAGCCTCAAAGGTTACACCGCGCGTCGA